AAACCTTTATAATAACTTTATTTTAATATATCATTGTAAAAATTAAAAAAATTTTTTATATTTGATTTGATTTGATTTGATTCGATCAAATATTTGATTTGATTTAATTTAATTTGATTCAATCAAATTCAAATTGATTCAAATTGATTTGATCAAATATTTTAAGTTCAATTCGATTCAATTCAATTTGAAAAAATCAAATCAAATTCAAATTGCTTAAATATTTAATTCAATGGATTCTTTTTACTCTCCTGGGTTGAAATAATTATTCGATTTTGAAGAACCCTAATTACGGTCATATAAAAATTTCTATATAACCTAGTCATTGTTCATCATTGGGTTAACTTGCTCTAACCTATCACTTAGTATTGTTTTAAAAAATGATTATACATCGTTCCAAAAGAACAATAAAAAAATTATTTTAAAGGAACAATAAAAGAAATCATTCTAAAGAAATAATGATGTATTATTCTAAAAGAATGATAAAAAATTTTTAAAGGAATGATGATATATCATTTCTTAAGAATTATAAAAGAAATTGTTTTAATAGTACAATAATATATCATTCCAAAAGAATGATAACAAAAATCATACTTTTTGAAATGATATGTTGATGAATTATTTTTTAAAAACAATGAAAAATATTATTCTTTTTAAAATGATAATGTATCATTTCTTAAAAATGATGTAAATTATTATTCTAAAGAAATGATTATGTATAAAATGATGAAAAATCACTCTTTTTAAAATGATGATGCATTATTACTTAAGAATAATAAAAAAATATTTTTTTTTGTAATGATGATAAATCATTTAAAAGAATTTTATTTTGGAACAATAATGATATTGGATTTGTCATTTATGAAATCACAAAATATATTGAAATCTATATAATAAAGAATATATTTTTATTAATTGAAATAATAATTATTAAAAGATATAATAAATTTAAAATTAGATTCAGACAAATTTTGTTTCTCAATTTAGCTTCTAATTCATGAATTCTAGCTGATAATTCTTTGGCTGAATTTGCTTTATTAAGGATCTGGATATATTTATCAGCTTCTTAAGAACACTTTTTATTTTTTTTTGTGTAATAAGCAGTATCATAATTTTTTTTTCTTTTAGCTGTTCTTTGATACTTTTTATTTGTATCATATATAACTAATGTATAATAGCAACTATTGCATAATGTGTCATTAACTTTTAGCTGCAAACAATCCTTGTAAGTAGCACTATTTTTTGCTTTTCTAAACCATATTCCGTTACTTTTCTTCTGGATTTACTTTTTGTATACATTTTGCATTTACGAAATGAAACTTCAGTACTTATTCTGGCTACTGTTACTGGATTTTATTTTGGATTTAGATAGTTGAAGGTCTAAAGAACTAAAATATATGTTTTATTGCGTGTTTGATATCCCAGTTTCAAATGTAACACGGTGATATTCAAATTTTTATATATCGTTAATATAAATTTACTATAAATTTATTAATTGGGTTGAGTCCTTTTCTTTTTTTCTTTCTTTTCCTATTTTTCATCTTATCATCTTTATATTATTAATATGATTTAACATCTTTTCATATTTTTATTATTTACTATATTTATCATAGTTAACGTAAATGTATTATTTAGAATCTTTGATTTATTATTTATGTATTTCAATTAGGACTTGTAACTCTTTAATTTGTATCATAAGATAGTATATATAGGATTTAGTAGTAATTGGGTTTTTGAGTTATTAAGAGTACAACCAATAAAAAGCTATCCTTCGAACTGCACGTTCTTTAAGTTTACTGTGTTATAGTTTTGTATTGTGTTTATCGTGTTAATTTAATTGAAGTCTCGCTGTATCAAATCCAGGGACGATGATTTATGGCATTCCGCAAAATATCATATAAATCGTGATAAATGCCTAATTTTACATAAATGCTGCATAATATCACAAAATTTTGTCTTTTATATAGATATGCACATATATTCACAAGCACAGATAAATGGTTATATCGGTTATATCGCTAAACTGTAAACAGTAAAATCATAGAAATTGATTGAATTGACAATAAAAATGGTGTCTAAATGACAAGCATTAACTATTCACATACAAAAACTTTCAATAAATTTAGCGAACTTTCTGAACCAAAAAAATTGAAATGAAGTATTAAAAATTAGTTAAGCTATTTTAAGAGACTAGCAATATCAATAACATAATGAATTTTTCCAAGTTCTGAATGAAAATTGGTGTGCTTCTCAAATTGCAATTGATTATATTTGATTACCTAGCTGTGCTGTTGAGCATAGCTTTTCTTTAAGATAGTAATCGGGGAAATTTGATTTTTTTCATTTAATAAAATAATAAATATAAAATTACACGAAAATATTACAAAATGTTATAAAAATAACGCAACAAAATCATACAATTTTATAAAAATAAGGTCACAACGCAACAAATTCATTTTAATCACACATCATTTACCTTTTATCACCACAAAAAATCATTGTCCCTGATCAAGTCGTTGTCAACGGACCGAACAACGAATATCCGTCCTTGTTATTGGATATCTGGATATCCGTCCGTCAAAAAGGCGGATTATGAATTGATCGGATTGGCCGGACATATAACCATAAAATCGTCCTAAAGCTACAACTATGATGTCATTGTCTATTTCTGGAGAAAAATGAAAATGCGAAAAAAAAAGTTTAAGGTAATAATAATAAAGGAAATTATTATTTAATTGTATTCATTCTTTAAGAAATTGATAGTGAGAAAACAGATAGCGAAGATGAATAAGTATAATTATTATTAATGTAAAATTATAAAAAAATTAATGTACAGTGTACTATACTGCTGTAATACATTATATATAAATTATCATACACATACAATTAGTTTTCATTATAAAATATAATATAGCCTATTAAATAGAAAAAAATTATTCAGTTGTTAATCCTAGTAAGCTTTACTTTTAATTCTTCACAATGATTTGCTATAGTGCATTGAGTTTTCAAAGGTGCAGAATAATCAGCCAATTCAACATTATATCTGCTAAATAACAAAACCAACAATGTTTTTAATTCAGCCATCGCTAGATTTCTACCAGGACATAATCTCATCCCACCTCCAAATGCAAGAAAAGAATTCTTTTTGATTTCATTGCTCGTGGATGGCATAAATCTTTCAGGATCAAATTTTTCTGGATTTTCCCAATACAATTTACTCTTATGAATTTCTTGAGCATTTATGAAAATTTGTGTTGAACCTTCCAATTTAATATGATCGATTATTTCATCAGAATTTTCCGCCATTCTGAACACAAAAGGTGCCAATGTTTTGAAGCGCATAACTATATATATATTATTATTATTAATAGTTAGTAACGATTGATAACATTTTTTTAAAAAAAGAGAAAAAGAATTTTTTTTAACCTTCTTTGAGCACGGCTTCACAATAATGTAATTTATTCAATTCTTCATATTTAACGTCAAATTTTGAATTTGAACCAAATACTTGTTGGATTTCTTCGATAAGTCGTTGTTTTACTTTAGGATATTGACAAAGATAATAAATAACATAACAAAATGTATTTGTGCTCTAAAAGAAAATGTATTCAAGAATTAAAATATGATCATTATCATAGTAATTTCAACATTACTAAAAAATATTTTCGCCTTATACTTACGGTATCAATTCCTCCAACGACAATTTCAAAAAGATTCTCGCATATGTTTACATTGCTCATAGGTTCAGAAGGTTCGTCGGTAGAAGTGTCTTTAGATTTATCACGTTCTGTGTTAAATGTTAACATCATGGTTAACATATCAGGAACTAATTCTTCATCGATTGGTGACCTTTCGATTTCTTCTCTACGTTCTTTAATGATATTAGGTAGGTAATATTTCCTCATCCAATCAAAACTTTCTAACAACTTTTTAGAATATTTGTGATAACTCGGTATAATGTACATAAACTTGGGAGTCGTAAGATAAAACTCGAACGATCTAAATATAGATCTGACATGTTTAACTAGATTTTCTGTATCAGCAGAATCTTTCTTAGGAAAACATAAAACTTCATGATGGTTTTTTAAAGCATAGGATTTTTTACTCGTTGTTATCAAGAAAATAGCCTCTGCGAAAAATCTTATCATCCATTCCGACATATCGATTTCAATGTTTCGCCGATTCAAATCATCCCAATAATTTTCCATTTCCAAAAATAATGACTGAGTGAATTTGACACTCAGTCTAAGAAAAAGTGGGAAAGAAATGGCTCTTGTGAAGTATTTTCGATTGCTATGCCAAGTATCGTAATCCCTGTTGAGTCCTATACCTTTTAAGTTCATATCCAACTTATCTAACGCTTCATTTGGAGCTGTACGAGCATTATAATTACCAGGTGAAGGTTTTAAAATTTTCTCAAGGTATTTGGTTCCACCTATCCAAATGGCCCTTTTGTTACCAAACCATACTTCACCAATATCACCATAATTTGATTGAATCCACTTTCCCCAAACCGATAAGTCGTTAGTATATTGATGCAAATTACCGATTATCGGTAATGGTATAGGACCTGGTAATTTGTCTGGGCGTCTAAAATAATTAAAGTAAAAATTTATCACATAAATTGTGACAAAAGTTAAACTTAAATAAACGAAATCCTGAAGTGAAAAAATTGAAAAAATTGCCATGGTTATTTGAAATTTAGTTTTTTTTTAATTATAGAAAAAAAAAGAAGGTAAGTTTAAAGTTTAAACGTCAATTGAGAAAAAATAATATAAAATTGATTTGATAATGTTTCATTTTTATTCGTTTTATTAACAAAAAGTGATCAACACAATAATATACTCATGATATGGGAAAGACATAAATTAGACTACAAAAGATGAATACATATCCGGCCGGAATAAGCGTTAAGGTAACATGCTGTGTCATATGGGAGGTTTGCTTTATTAAAATTGAAAGTAAATTATAAAAGATACAAAACAAGAAAAGAAAATACAAAACTTCTATTTAATCAAAGTCAACCTTGCACCATTCTGGGCCAAAAACTTATTTTGAATCAATTAAAATAAACATTATTTAGTTTTAAAATTGAGGCGATCTATTTGTGATATTAATGATTGGCCAAGGAATTGCATAAAAAATCGAAAGATATTATTATTTTAAATAAATTTAAGAAATATAATAAAAAGTTAATTAATAATTAAAAATTTTAATAAAACTTTATTTAAAATGATAAAATATTTCGATTTTATGCAACGAAAAAAACGTGTAATAATACTTCAGAGCAAACATCTCGGCCAATCATTTTTTTAATATAATTTTAAACAGGCCTTCAATCGGACGAAAAGTAAAATTACGATATCTCCGTCAATATTGCTCCGAATTTTATGAAATTATCACCATTCGAATCCTTTCAATAAGACGATTCTAATAAGATATATTAAATTAAATTCTGATCATTAGTTATGGAAATACATATTTGAAATTTTGAATTACTATAATTCAGCCATTATCATTTAGTCATTTAATTTAACAAATTTAGCTTATATCAATGGAGGTTGAAACTAATTCAATACCATTATATGAAAATCCAATAATACAAAAATAGATATTGCTTTAATGCAAATTTCCAATATATCAACCAAAATATATAAAATTATGTGAAATTAATAAAAAAAAATGCTTAATACTTATAAGATCATTTAAATAAGAATGGATTAAATTAAAGTACATATATAGAAATACTAGACATATACTTAAAACTGAAAAAAAATTTATTGTATACTTATATTACATTTCATTAAAAGAATTCTTAATTAAATATGATAAAATTCATAGTTTACCTTCACTATTATAATATAAAATAATTTTAAAACATTTATCTTCCAACAAATAAAAAACCATTAAATCTATTTATAATGAATATAAGAATTATTATTATACTGAATATAATAAAACTGAATAAATAATTTTCTATTATAATTTTCGAAAACTATAGCATAAAATAATATTAAATCTTAAATTTCAATCTTTAGAAAGTGATTATATGAAACTTGTGAAAATTTTAAAACTAAATTACAAACAAAAAAAATATAATACTGATAAATATAAACAATTAAAAATTTAATTTGAAATTATAAAACATTAGCATAAAATAAATAACAAAATTATAATAATAATATTAATAGAAGTGGAAATAAATATATATTTGTTATGATTAGATACAAAATATATTTATATTATATTTATCACAAGTTAGTATTATATATTTTAAATCAACTTTTTCAGTACATTTTTTGAAATTTATAAAACTGAAAAAAATTAAAATCATTAATTAAATATTTATAATTAGTAAAAATGAACTTCTAAAAAATAATTTTAAAAGTATTAATACAACTTTAAATATAATATAATTTTCACTTTAAAAATTTATTATTAGTAGAAAAAATAATTATTCTGAATAAAATAAGAATAATTTATTATTTTAGTTTTGATTATGCATAATTATATAAGGTTGGTTTGAAAATATTACAGTTAATTTTATAATTCCTAAACATACAAAATTTATATGTAATTATTTTTTGAACAAATTAAAAAAGTTTATTGAAAATATTGTGTAAATACTATTGATGATTTTATTAAGAATTTATCAAAAAGTAATAAAATAATTTTATATAAAAATAAATTAGTATGATTTTAAGTGTATTTTTTAAAGATTTGTTTACTTCTTTTAAATATAAAATAATATCACTATTTTAGATTTAGTAATTTATTTAAAGATATTAGTAAAGTATATATTTTAAAAGTACCTAGTAGAATATAATCTTCTTTTTAATTAATAATACTATTTGAAACCTATTTTAATGTGTAGCATAAAAATTTAAGAACTTTTTTTAAAACCTTTAAAATGATTTTTTTTTAAATCTGAAATTTGATTAAACTTGATTGAATTTATAAAAACCTATTAGACATTTAAGTAAAATATTTATTATAATAAATAGTTTAATTTCAAATACCTTAAAATTCAAATTTTTTAAAAAATGGTTTAAGGCATTTTTATTTTCAATTATTAAAAAGTAATAATTTTAATAAAAAATAATGAACTTAATATAATTTAATTGAATGATAAAAATATTTATATTTAAAAATTCATTAATATGTAAATAATTTACTTAAAGATTTTTATTATGTAAAATTAAAATCAAATTATTAAAAAAAAACTCAAAACCATTTTTCTATTCATATTTTGTTTATTTATTATATTTAATATTTTTAAATATATTTTTTTATTTTATAAATAAAAAAATTTATAAATATTTGCAAATCATATTTACTAATAATTATAATTAAATTTTAAAGAAAAAATCAATTTCCCAGCATTCCGGTCACTCACGTCACATGGTTAATTTCTTAATGCGTAATCAATTAATCACGCGATTGAACACAACCTCGCAAATTAAAAAATGAGCCGTTAAAAGATGAGCATCATCTCTTTTAAACCAAATTTATTGGAATTAAAATGCCTCGATCAGTAATTCTCAATACTTCTATGGTATGTTAATTTATTATTATGTACAACATTTTTTTATAATAATTATTGATTATTTTGTTCTGATTTAGGGAATTATTACAATAGAATTGTATGATGATCATGCAAAGAAGACCTGTGATAATTTTTTTGAACTAGTAAAGTTTTTTTATTTTATTTTAAAAGTTTAATTTATAGTTGGTATAACATTTTTTGTTTGTTTGATCTTTAGGCGAAGCGTGGATATTATAATAATACCATAGTATGTTAAATTTTTATACTTTGTCATTTTAAGAAATTTTATTTAAAATTTAATTGTTTATAAATAAAAAGTTTCATAGAATAATTGAAGTAAGTTCAATTTAAAATTTTCGAATCGAAGGCTAATCATTAAGAAAAATAACGTATAAATAAAAATCATGTGAAAAATCAATTGATTTTTAAGGATTTCATGATTCAAGGAGGAGATCCAACTGGAACTGGACGAGGAGGAAGTTCAATTTATGGGTAAATGGCAATTAAATATTTTATTGATTTTTATTGATTTCTTATTAATTGAATATCCGATATCTAGTCGTACATTTGAAGATGAAATACATCCAGATTTAAAACATACGGGAGCTGGAATTATTAGTATGGCTAATGCTGGACCAGATTCAAATGGAAGTCAAGTGAGGTTCTTTGATTTTAAATTTATGATTTATTATTCGTTTACATCATAATGATTTATGAAATACCTTTTCCAATTCAATCCCAAAAGTTTTTCATAACATTAGCGCCCACTCCTCATTTAGATGGTAAGTGTTTGTTTGATAAATTTGATAAGGATCAATCATTTTTGTTTATTTTTATCTATTTATTTTTAATTAAAAGGTAAACATGCGATATTTGGGAGGGTAAGTGATGGTATCGAGATAGTTAAACGTATAGGTAAAGTTACCGTTGATCGAGATGATAGGTAATTATTCATTATTCATTATCATTATTATTCTTATCTTTATTATTTATAAAGTGTTTACTTGTTTATTTATTATTATTATTTTTTTTTAGACCAAAAGAAGATGTGAAAATTATATCTGCCCAAGCTATTGATGTTTGATTAACGAGTTGAATATCTTGTGGTACCGCAGATCCTACTACCTAATGTATTATCGCCAATAATGTTCTTATGCGTTAATCAATAATAGTATTACTATTTTCTATATAGAATAAGTACCTCATTAATAAAGTATAAAGGATAACTAGTTAATCGCCCGTTATTATCTAATTGTTATTATTATAGATGTTATTTTTTTTTAAAAAAAATTAAATTTTATTTATTAATAAAAAAGAAGCCGACGGGCGGGATTGAACCACCGACCTTCAGTTTACAAGACTGACGCTCTACCACTAAGCTACGCCGGCCCAATAATATATTCGTCATCGAATTTAAAAAATTTTATTCGTTAATAATATACCATATTTAATGTTCCGGTTACATTTAAAAAGATCACATGACTGAATTTACAAATGTGCAAAAGTTACATTATTCGTATGTTTAATCGACATGAAAGGTTAAAATTTTGATACATTAAAATAATTTTATACAAATCGGATCGGATTTGCAGAGAGAGATTATGACCAAAGTAAATCTCAACCCAATTACAATGCCACTGGTATGACCTTTTCTTAAAGCCAATTATTAAGTTTAGGATATACTGTAGTTCAAAAGATCGAGAGGTTCAAAAGATTTTTAATTTGAATTGGAACGTTTTGTCGCCAATTATTTTCAATTCTATAAATACTTTTTGTCAGATATGATTTATTTGAAAAATATTTTTTTTTTTGTAGTATCTAAAATTTAGCATTAATGAATCTGACTATATTTTATTTTGAAACTTTTCAAAAGATAAATTACTCTCAATTGTAAATGGAAATATCTTTATTGTTGGATCTTTCCTCAGATGTTTAACTGAACATTTTATAATGCTGGCCGGTATTACTAACGATCATTGAACCTCATCAACATCTGATGTTCTTTAAAAAAATGTAAAATTTTTAAGAGACGAAAACAATAAATCGGATCAAATCAAATAACTATTTATATCAATAATAAGACTTCCATTTTAAATTACAGGAAAATATATGTACAAAAAACGAAAATAAATAAATAAAAAATAATAATTAAATAATGATTAAATAATATTACACGATTACTTTTGGTCTAATCATCGACAAACTGCCGGAGTTAATGTCACTCTTATAACACCATCTTCATCTATTTGACTTGGTTTTCCTAATTCTGCTTTTTCCTCTGGTCTATAATGAACAGATCCAGCTATAGAAATGGCCGCCGAAGAACTTCTACATGAATTTTTTTGCCCATTCACTCTTTGTGATTCACTTGAAGGTCCGAGAAGATTAGGATTTAAAGGAACACCAGTTACATCAGCTGCTTTTCTCTTCTTTTCAAAACTAGGATTAGAAGTAGTGATATTTGAAGAAGCAGCATTCGTTACAACTGTAGTAGTGTTTGTAATAAGGGCTTTTATTTTTCCAGTGATCGGTTTTTTACTATTTGATATTTCTGAATTAGCAATTAAAGCTTCAAACTTTTCCATCTTTCTTAATTTTTCTGTGTCCGGAATAGCGGGAGGACTGATCGGGTCATTTTCAAATCCTCGGCGAGGTCTTCCTCCTATTCGTGGCAACTGTTGTGGAAATCTCAAAGTTCTTGATGGACTTAATGGTGGAGATTGTGGTGGATTATTAATAGGTGAACGTAATGGCAATACTAACGGAACTGGTGTTGTTGGTGATCTTGGTGATAAAGGAGATGGTGTTGGATGTAATACAGGCGAAGTATTTTGCGAAACTGGTGGGCTAGTAACATCCTTTGCTGTTTGTTTATTAAATATTCCTCCTAAAATATTAATTCCAGCTTTTTGATATTTATTTGAAGTCAAAGGTGAAGAAGCCATTGGTTGAATTAAATCCGGTTCACTTTCTTCCAAATGAATAGGAAGTATAGTGCGTGACACAGGTGCAGAGGACGATGATGGTGAACTTGGCGGGGAACTTGGTGTTTGTTTACGATTCAATCTTTCTTTACTTGATGTATGTTCAAGGGATAAATTCGAATGAGCTAAATGGGCTAGTGATGATGAAACATCATCCTTAGATCTTCGTCGTGGAAAGTAATCGTTCATTGTTGTATCCTGTGATGATTTACTCGGTGAAGATTGAATTTCTTTTTTACGCATTTTAACTTTTTCAGCAAGTTCTTGAGATTCTAAAATTCTATCCTGTTCTAAAGTTTTAGTGACTTTGTTGTCACCATTCTTATTTTCTAATTTTACCCCTTCTATTTGACCATTTAGATAATTGCTATTGTTCGTCAGTTCTTCGGCAAGTCGTTTTTCTAATTTTTCTTTTCTTCGTCTCTCTCGTCTTGCTTCTCTATCTTCTACTTTGGCATTACTACCTTTTTTTGTTTTTCGTTTAATTATTGGTCTTGATACTTGGGTAGGTTGAGGTTTACTATTAACATTACCCATCATTCCACCAAACGACATCATCAAACTTTCCTCTAAAAGCTGACGTCTAAAAACTAATGACGCACGATTTGGATTTGGTACAATGATTGACTCGCGTTTCCTTTGAGGAATGTCGCGTGATAAACGATTAGGATTGGAAGATAAAACTTTTGAATTTCTTTTAGGATTTACAGAAGCAAATAAACGTGAAATATTATTATTATTATTATTGTTATTATTATTGTTCTTGTTCTTGATATTATTATTTTTATTATCATTAATATTATTATTATATGAAGCATTGGCTACAAGATCTACACGAAGAGGAAGGGGAACTAATGAGGCATGAATTAATTGAGGTGGTTTAGAAGGTCCCGGTAACCATGGGTACATTTGATTTTTAACGGGAGGTAAATCAGCTTCCATATCTGTAGGATCGTTAGAATGTACTGGGTTCGAGGTAGGTGCGAAATCCATATGCCTTTGAGACATTCTTTTTTTATTAGCATTTCCACCTCGTTTTACCTGCCTTCGGTTTGTTTTTGAAGGAGATCGTTGTGCTAATAATCTTGGGTCAATAAAAGGTTGTTCATTTGGTATAATGAACGCCGATTGTTTACCATTCGTGCTAACACTCTTCCCTTTCCCTCCTCTAATTTTTTGAGAACGCATCATTGACGAACGTTTTTTCTGTTTCAACATTTTAGAATCTTCGGTTGAAATATTTTTGACGCGTGATTTTGGCAAAGGTGGCTGATGCTGTGGCGTCGGTGGAAGTGAAAACCTATTAACCTTTTGCTTACGTTCGTTAACTACAGGATCTGTAGCCGAAAGGCTTAAAGGTTCAGGACGTGAATTCCTTGATTGATTATTTGTAATAATAATATTGTTATTTTTATTATTATATTTTTTATGGATATTATAGTCATTTAGTCCAACACAAAATTCCGATGAAGAATCTTCTTCATTAGGAGATTGTGTAGGACTATGGAGTATTTCTACCACTTTAACAGTTGTAACCGTAATCCCTCCAAAAGGTGATTGAGGTTCACTTTCTGTCGAGTCACGTGATTCAGGTCGGCTCATAGTATCGATTGGGGAGATTGATATCTTGGAATGAGGAGGTGAAGTGGATCTAGGTTGATCATTCTGTTGTGGTGGTTCTTGAGAAGCGGAAGTTGATGGAATTGTAGGTGGTGGTGTTTTAGGTGAAGACCATCTAGCAGGCTGTACGGAATCATCCACAGAGATATTATTTTGTGAATTAATGTTATGATCAGGTGTGTCATCATTTGAATCACAATCGAAATAATCGGAACTATTGTTATCTTGCCAATTTAATTCATAAGTGGCATATCTCTTTGCAGTATTTTTTGGAGGTGTCGTGCTTAATCCCTTTTGATCTTCATTCTCATCAACAGTGATCCGATGATGGGTGGGTGAAGATGATGAAGGTATGTGATCTATGTTAGGTTGTGACATATCCTTTGAATTTTTTTGATTTAATCCCAAAATTGAACTCCACAATTGTTTAATATGCGGGTGTGGATGCGTGACCACACTTCCTAAAAAGTGGAATGCTTGTCGGAGCCGCACAGCTACCGATGTTCAAAGTGTAAAAAATGGATTATTAACGCGAAACTTCAATGAGTTTCGCAAAAAGGGGAAAAAAAGGGGAGGGGGTTTTTTACAGCAGTTGGAGCTGTTGTGACGTTAATTTTATTTATTCAACTTTAAAACGTAAAGTTCTGTTTTTTTTAGGTAAAAGAAAATTGTTTTTGAATTAAGGGCAAAAAAAAAAATTTACTATTCGTGGATTTTTTTTTATTTTCTTTTTGTAAGGGTTGCTCTTACGTTTCTATACGATCATAAACGACTTGTAGGTATCTTTATAGCATATAGACAAATAGTATTTGTATTTGTATGCGGATTTGATATTACAAGTATGTATATGAAACGTGAAAATGTGACTTTTTTCCCCCAAGTCGGTTAAGAGAAAGGATACAAAGCTTAACAAAGAAAAGAAGACGTCACGGGTTTATGAGACGACGTTAAAGGAAGGAAAATTTAAGACAGGGAAAAGGCGGGATAACCCACTAATATTGGTTTAAAAGGTGCAAAAAAAGGCTACAGTTAAAACGACTTTTTTTTTCTCTTTTTTTGGGGGGAGGGGTTATTTCAACTAGGAGATAAATAAATAAAATATACATCATACCTTTTTTACCCAAGTAGAAAGTGAATAAAAAGAAGTTTAGGCGTAAAATTTCATGAGAGGTAATTTCATAAAACAATTTAATCTTTTTGAGGTGGTAATACGAGATAAAATTTTAAATTTAACTCCAAATTTTTGAAATGATAGTTGCACAATTTTAATTTTTATGGGATTACAGGTTCAAGAAAAAAGATAATAGATTAATTGGGTAGGTTCACTTTTTTTCCTAACTGGATGAACCTTAATGTTTAACGCAGGAACACACAGCAAAATAATTTGATTTTAAAGAAAAAGTATTTTCCGATTTTTTTTTGAGAAAATTTTGGGTAATGAATTTATGACTAACCACAGCTTATATATATATATATTATTTTTCCATCTTGTTTTCCACATTTGTTTAAAGTGAATAAAAAAAATTAACTTTATTCAATTAAATGCTCAATACTACTACTCTTTTCTTTTAATTTAGTTAAAAATTCGAGTCTTTTTAGTATCAATATAAATTTTCAAAAATTTATAAATCCTACTATTGGAGATTTAAAATAAGATCTCAATAAGCATGATCTGCTTTTAGTCGTAGAAAACTTCGATCCATCATCACAACACCGATATTACAGCACCTTTACGTGAAATTTAAAAACTCGGGCATAATTTGATGCATTATGATGGTAAATGCTAATTTAATATTAGTTTTAAGGGTTACCCTTTCAAATAATTTCGCCGTGAACAAATTATTACGAAACTCCATATTTCTTTTGTTTACCAGTGAAATGTGTTGTGAATGCGTTTCGATGAACGTGATTGGTAAATACCAAAAATGGTTAATTGTTTTATATTTTTTTTGGAGACCTTACCAGTTATAAAAAAAATTTTTTTTTATTCAGGGGAAGTTCATCACTGGGTCACGTTGGACGTTCGAGTTCCATTTTGACTCTCTTTTTGATTTGTTTGTTGTTGTTTTATCTTCTTTTTAATAATGTCATAAATAACCAAATATGGTCAACCTTTTTATTGGTGTAAAAAAAACTGAACTGACAAATTTGTTTGATGAAAGTTCTTTTTGAATCATTATCAAGAACATTACAAGATTCGTATAATAAACAAATATGTATCTAATCATTAAATAATGATTCACGAGAAGTAGTTTGGGAATTTATTTTCTCAGAAATCTTTTTTTCTAAATACATTACTAATAATTAATTTTGAAAGAATAAAAGGTGATTAATAGTTTTACAAAGAAAATAAAATAAAATGAAAAACCGCCAAAAATAAAAAATACACATCAGTAAATCACTGCATTGCAAATCGATTAATGTTTAAATTATAATTGAAACACCAATTAATTATTTTGTCACAGCAGGGATCATCCGATTGCAACACAGGTTTATAATAAATATTAATTGATATGTTAATTCGTTCAAAGCCGTGGGCTATATGATTCAGCACTGACAAATAAAAATATAAAAGAACGACTAGTGATGAACTATATGGAACTTCCCAATCAAGGAGTACATTTCATCCGTTTGATAGTTTTTAGGTAAACTTTAAAGTGAATTTATGTATATATATATTATATTTGCATTTTGGAGATATCTCAATAAGATATAAACTTGCTGAGAACACCAAGACAAGTATGGGATGCTGAAGTTTTAATTTTAAGTTCAATGGCGAATATTATAGCAAAATTAGGAGTGAGTCATTTCAACTTTTTTTTTATTAAAAAAAAAAAATTTCCATATATTTTAGATCCTATAACTAAAGAATTCTTAATTTGAGTATTCATTGAATATTATAAACAAAGATTTCGCGTAGGGTTCTTCAAATTGCTTCGAGCCATTGCTTTCCAGGCATCTAGTAATTTTATATCTATTTGTTCTATCAATCATTTATTTTATTGATTATTTTTTTTTTGTTGCAGCACTTCTAACTTTACCGCCAACTTATAAATGGATAGCATTGTTTGGGCATTAAACACACAAGGGTCTTTTTTTCCGATTACGAATAACAATAATATCCTTATCATTATACTTACTAGTACTATGAAGCCGATATCGTGCTTCTATGCAATTCGATGATGTCGGAAAGAGACATCAAGTTCTAACCCTTCCATAAAAGATGGTCAAATCAACCATAGACTCCTCATTAAGAAGTATCTGGGCTATTAGAATACATTTTCCCTGAAATTTTGCGATTTTTCTTTGATTCTAATTCTTTTTAAGTTCATCAATATCCTGTTCCAATTTCACAATTCTAGCTCTAAATTCAGCATTCTCAGCAACAGTATCTCCTATTTTTCTCCAACTCATCGATATTTTATTCTTGAGTTCAGTGTTTCTTCCCTATTCAAATTTCGATTTGTGGGTTAAAACATACGGTATTAATATACATGCAATAAACAATATTATGCATAAGCCTTAAATTTTATTCGAAAGCTTTATTATATTAAAAAATTCAGATATAAGCGAAACTTTTTGATATGATTGGCTTTTAAAACACATTTTTTCTAATGGTAACAAGAGCATAGTATAAAGAACTCAGATAAATGATGAAAAAAATGATAACATGCAAAAGAAATGTATTATTATAGTGAGAAATACAATAAAAATATCACATAATTTTTCTAATACATTAACCTAATTGTTGTCTGCTGCATTTGACATCTTTTCCATAATTCACTATTCCAATAATCTTTGATAGCCTGTATACTAGATCGGGCTGCTTCAGTGGATTACGCAAAAAATACATTGTGCACACAAAAGAATGTAAATCATCTGCTGGTTTTGGAACATAATTTTCCATATCATTATCTAAGACAGAAGGCGTGGTTGTTCCTTTGTAAGGCACTAATGTTTTATTAGGATTATGAATTGCTGACCCCAATCAATAAGTATGATTCAGTATCTAACATGATGTTCGAAGTACGAATATCTCGGTGATATTGCACTATTTCCACTATATTTCCATTTTCACGAAATTTATTGCGTAATATGGGCAAAATAAATCGATATAATCCAACTGAGATTAAATAATGCTTTCCGAACACAGTCAGGAATGATAAATCCTATTATAATAAGTATTGGAACATTTGTAAATGAATTCCTACTCAATCTTCTGCCTCATTCTTCAAGTTATTATAGTAATAAATTTATCGAGATTAGTTTGTTTTGAAGAGACAAACTGTTGTTTTAAAGCTTCTTTTCTAAGCTTATCCCCATTGAGATATGACGAATCATTTGTTTCCTTAAAAACCATTTTATTCCTCCAATGTGAGCTCAAGCGAGTCATCATATCTTTGAATCATTTTTGAACTTGCTTGTTTGAGACATTGGGTTGTTTTGTATATATATAACTACGTGATTGAGTATGGCTCCAAGGTAGGGATTAGACTCAGTGAGGAAGTAATTATCTTGAAACTGTTCAAAAACAATGCTCTTGTAAACTTTAGAGTGCGTTATGGATCTTAGATATAGGATTAGTGATAGAAGGTGAATACTTTTACAATAATATACATACCATTTGTCCAAAGCCATATGTGAGATTCTCCACGGAAGTGGATTGGTGAGAAGAATAAAAGATAGCCGCATTCACTTGTGTTGACTAATTTATTATGACTCAATTACCAGCAGCAGGTTGATTTACTATAATGGGAATGTTTTGGGGGGCAGGTTTGACGATAAGAAGCAGGAAAAAAGCACAAGATTAAGTAAGTATTTGATATGAATATGACAGTGAAGACGAATCATAAGAATATATCAGATTCAGAATTCGATAGCGCCCTTAAGTAGCATAGTTGCCTGAATTTCTCCACAACAGATCTGTAAATAACACTTTATCATTAGAAATCGAATCTAGAATATTCTTTAGTCACGCCTCTAAATTTAATTGGTGTTTGATAAAAAAAGCGCCGTCAAATTTTACCAATTGTCAATTGATCAATTAACGTCCAATTAAATTTAGCCATTAAATCCTAAAAATTCATTGTTACTCCGCATATTATAAATGAATAAATCCTATAAATGATATACAAGCAAAATGGATCAAGCAAAATGGATCTTATGTGATATATTGTCGATTTTCATCTGTTTAATGACTCATTAAGCTTTATCAATCGCGTACAAAGAAGTTGATTTTAATGTAATGTAACGAATCTCCCTCTATTTTTTACAGATAATTTAGAATTTCCTAGTTATTTAGAAAGTTTATAGCAGGAGAAAATTAATAAATAAACTAGCGATTTTTTTTTCCAGCATATTTAATGTATCACACAAGTGTAATGCATCATATAAGTGTAATTTGTCATACAGGAAATGATGATCGTAATGAGTAAATTAATAGAAAATCATAATTAATTGATTGGATGATTTTACAGAGCATGTTTTTTTTCAATATATTTTTTTTTTATAATTGAATTGATAATTGTGATAAGTAAATTATGATTTTAATTAAACAATTTATTTAATAACATAATAGTGAATGTTCAAAAGTATCAGTCAAATAATGTGATCTTTTGCTATTTTTATTTTTAAAAATAAGTATTTTATGATTGAAAATTATGATTTAATCATGAGATATCTTGTACAGTAATGGCAAATTATAAGGTCTTTTGACTTGAAATTTATAATAACAATAAGGTCATTTGAGGTCATTTCAAGGTCTTTTGCCAACCCTGGTCTTGTAATCTTTGATATTTTAAGATCATCTTCTGATCAGTCATGAATGCTGATCTGTTAAGATGAAAAATCTCAACATTATCCCAGGTAGAATAGCAACATAAAGCTTGACCTAGAGATGTGATTCGTTCAGTTGATATCTAGTCATCTGATCAAAATCTGGATTTAAATGCAATACGGATTATAATTTTTTTGACAGAATGATATACGGATTATGAAAATTTGAATAGATGATCACTAGATGATCCGTATAAATTCGCATAATCTGTTTAATATGATTGGCTAATTAAAACTATAATTGGTAAATTTATTGTGAAGTTGTGTTTCATTTTTTTTATATATATTGAACCAATAATAACAATGGTTGAAGAATCATATAATAATAGTGACACTGAATTAGAACAAAACTTAAACCAAAAAAAAGTTAAACTAAATGAAACCCGTGGAGGAAGTAAAATTAGAAGTTAGATTTGAAAACATTTTAAATCTAATTATAAAGATGGAGTAAGATATGCAGTTTATCAAGTAGAAATAGTAGATGGAAAGAAATGTGAAAGAACTTATAGAATTGGTATATCTACTGGTAATTGTGCTGTTTATCTTGCAAATAATCATGAAATAACGGAACAAGTTAAGCAAGAAGTTAATACTGTAAGTAATTTTTTATAAAATTTGATTATATTAATTTTATAAATATAATGCTAATAATTTAAATATATTAAAAGCAAATAAATCTGAATCAAAATATCATGTAAATACTTACTAAAAAAACCTATCATTAAGAATCACGTCAACTTGAATTGTGTCAGTATCTTGCAGATTGGATTTTATGTGATTCTCTACCACTTACTATTATTCAAAGTCCAGCATTTAAAAAATTAATTTCTCAATTAGATCCAAGATTTCAAATTCCAAATACAAAATATATTAAAAAAATTATTCATCAAGCATATAATTATTCAAGACCGCTAATTATAGAAAAATTAGAAAAAGATGCTAATGCAGTATCTTTAACTTATGATCTTTAGACAAGATGAAATCATCAAGGTTTTTTGGGAATAACATGTTCCTATCTTAATCCAGAATTTCAACTTCATAAAATTGTTCTTTCAGTTCAATATATTTCTTATCCTCATATAGCTGATCATATTGGAGATACATTACTTATAGTATTGGATGAATGGGAACTTTGCGATAAAGTTTTTATGGTAATAACGGATAATAGTTCAAATATGTGAAAAGCTATTTAAGATTTAGAAATTGTGGCAAATAATATAATGTGGCAGCTATGTGCTACTCATGCCTTATAACTTGTGGTTGGAAAAGGTTTAAAATCTATCAAATTATTGGTTAGCACTGTTAAATGTCTCATTGATTTTTTTATAAGACCAAAGCAATCAGAACATCTTGAAAAAATTCAAAAACAATTTATGCGATCAATAGATTTAAATGAGGTTGTATTTAATATATTTAATAAAAAAAAACTTCTTTTTTTATTTTTTTAAAAAGAATGATTTTTTTTGTTTTTAAAATAGTTTTTTTTTTTAAAAAAAAATGTATAATTTATTTTTTAAATAAAATAATTGTCTTCTTTCTGATGTTGATATTTATAAAAAAAAAAATTTTCTCTACTAATATTAATAATTTATTTAAATAATTTTTTTATTTTATATTGTATTTAAATTATTAAATATAAAAAATAATTTATTAATAAATATTCTAATTTTATAATTTTTACAAATTCTTAGAATTCTGAATCCTCAAGAACACCTATAGTAAGTAAAAATATAAATTTTTTATTTTGTTAATTAAATTAATTAAAAAAACATTTATTTATTAATTAGCCTACTGAAAAAACTGCAAAATACTTGAGACATATTATTGCTGATGTATCTATCCGTTAGAATTCTAGCTATCTAGCTTGGTGTCGATTTTTAGAATTAAAAGGATATATTTGTATACTTAAAGCTAATTTAGCTGAGAAAGTCGATCAGAATTCTAAAAAGGATCCTCAATAGCTATCTAAAATAATGTTAACAAATGATGAATAGGACTTACTTCATGATTTGATACCAATTTTAAGACGTTTTGAAGAAGCAACCAGATATCTTGGAGGTAGTAATTATTCTACTTATGGTATAATGAATCTTTAATAGCTAAAATTATTGACAATCTCAAGCCCAAATCTGAATCAAGTACAACAAATATTCATATTGAGAAGATTGAAGATATTTTTGTATAGGATGAGAATCAAGATAATCCAGATAATACTAACAATAATAACAATAAAATTAATTTAAATAGGCTAATGCAGATATCAGAAGTTTTAGAAAAAGTAAAAAAACTTTATATTATGCAATGCTTTTTTATTGGAAAAAAGATCGCATAATATCATATTTACCATCTATTATTGACCCTCAAATCAAAAAACTTGACTTTGTGCCTGATGAAATGAGATCAACCCGGTATTCTTTACAAGACAAATATAATGATATGAAATTTAATATGTCATTATATACTCGACCTTCTTCATCTTCATCTGATTTAACACTACTCCTTTTCTTGGTTCTACACCCTCCCCTACATTATATAAACCAACCCTTTTTAATATTTTTAATCATCTATCACCTAATAATAATCAAAGTGAACTTGATAAATACCTTGCAGTTTTACAAATTCCATTTAATTCAGACCCTTTTTCTTGGTAGAGGATTAACAAAGAAAAGTTTCCAATAATTAGTGAATTAGCACGTGCCTATCTTTCAGTTTTAGCCACTTCAACTCCAAGCGAAAGGTTGTTTTCGGACTGCGAAAATTTGATAGGACTTAAAAGAACACGTATTAGTCCAGAGTTTTTTAAAAGGTTAATGTTTTTGAAAAGAAATTTTAATATTTTGGATAGTATTCACCTACACAAATAATTAATAATAGTAACAATTAATAAAAATAATATTTTTTGCTTACAGAAACAAATTTTTTTTTTGAAGTTAAAAGTTTTAATTGGCTAATAGATGCAATAAATTAATAACACGATTTTCTGAATGCATAAATTTATAATTTGAACGGATTATAGATCATTCGTTAATATTCGGATCATCCGGATCATTCGCATAATATCTGAGAATGGGTTTTTTTTGAACGGATAAGGATTTACATTTGGATTGAAAACTTTTGATCAAATAACAATTCAGATAATACGGATTGACCAAATTGCATCTCTAACTTAACCTACTGAGAAGATATTTTGATCTAAAGTAAAAGAAATGTTTGATAAAGTTAAACCCTATATCTTATGAATTGTAAAAGCAAAGCAATTCTATAGTGGATATTAAGTTTTATGACAGTTGTTCCATATAGTTGAAAGTGATGTGTTTGCTTGTAAATGGTTGTGTCTATTATAGAATCTTTTACAGAAAATGTGACTCAAATAGACTGATTAATAAGATTTAGATTCATAATAATTTCAACTATTTAATTATATATATATATGCTTTACTCAATCAAAGAATTATTATTAAGACATATGATACAAGTACCTGGTTATAATCTTACAGAAGAAGACAAATTGGTTTTACTTTTAAAGAACTTTTAGAAAAAAAAAGCATCTTATAATGTAAAATTTACTGAATCTACAGCTTAAGATATAAGAAATATAAGAAATATTTCTTCAAGAACAAGTAGGATGTTATAAATCATTCAGTTAATTTGTTGAGCATTTTCTTTAAAGCCAATGATATTGGTAGTATTAAGAAGTACAGTCAAACCTTGATATAGCGAACCCTTAATATAGCGAATTTTTAAATCAAATATATTAAAATTACCTTTACTATAGTGAACTAGCCAATTAAATTCTTTAAAAAATTCGTTATAAGCTTATAACGAAGTTGATATCCAGATCCTAGAATTCGTTATATCAAGAGTTCACTGTATATCAATCACTAGTTATATTAAAAATTCAAAATATTTTTGATTGAACATTTGTCATGTTTCAGCAAATATATTACCTATTTGAACTTCTTATAAGAATTTGATAGAACTTGCAATCAGTTTATTGATATTATAAAGTTATTAAGAATAAAGAATAAAATAAAGTTCAGGTTATTGAACAAAATACAGGTTGACCTGTAATAGGTAGTAGTAATTGAATAAGATCACCTACTATAATTACATTTATTCTACTAAAAAGGATAGCATTATTGTTAAGATTAGTAAAAAGATCAGATATAAAATTAAAGAGCTGAACTAAATTTCTTCTATAATAATGGTATAAACCTTTTTTAATAATTTATTTAATTCTTTATCAATATATACACATATATGAAAATGATCATTATTTAAAATAATCTGTACTACAGAATGAATTATTCTTCCTTCTACATTTTGAATAGTAATATCAGTAGGAGCCAGTTAAAGATAATTAGATCTTCTTTATTTAAGAATATTTATTAGTAGATTTGTAATATAAATTTACCTGTTTCTGCAAAACATGTAATGAAATAATACGGTCATTTAATATTATCATTTGATGAAATTGTTAATAAAACATAATACTGGTTAATTTTAAGATAAGTTAAGTAGCAGTTTCAAGTAATATATAAGAAAGCATTTTAATATTTTCTAATTGTAATTTTATAATATCATGAATTATTGTTTGGAGTTCTTGATGTAATAACTGTGATAATCAGTTTAGCATTTAGCAAATTGATTATTAAATGAGTGATACGTAAGTAATGTTTATTTTTAATTTGAATTTGTAAGGTTATCAAAAATCAGGAAATAGTAATAAGAATTTTTATCTGTATATTCTATTGGATCTTATCCTATAGTCATATTTAAAGATAGGCACCATAATTAAGAAGTTGCAACTCAGTATGTTGCAACTCCTTGTAAATTTATTTTAATATAAAAATTCATAAATAGTTGCAACTCAAAGTGTTGCAACTTAAGTTGCAACTAGTTAAAAATTTTAAAAATAATTATGGGAACCATCTTTAGTCATATTCATCTTTTACAGATATAATAAGAAGAAACCTCTAATAGAAGTATAATTCAATATTTTCAAGTTTAAGAAAATAATATCTCATTATTATTTCTTTAGAACATTTTATAACATAATTGTTCAATTGATCATGAAAAATTAATCAATTAGTTAAAAGTCTTGAAGGAGAGATTGAATACCTTTTAAAATATTGAAGATAAGTAAATAGATCAAATTCAGAAAAGATAGATCATATCATATATTTGGATATAGTATTATCATAATAAGGTTTTTTATCTTTTTTATGTATTAAATAGATAGGAAATACTAAACGAGATCTTGTATTAGGAAGTTTAGTGATGAGAAATTTCATAGTACTGTATGAATTACAAATTTGATAACCTAAAACAAAATCATCAATTTTATAGAACTGAGTCCTCATGCAATTACATGTTCTCTTAATATATCACCATTCTGTATATTAAATATATGAGAGAATTCTCTCTTAATGATGTATTTTATCATTTATTGAGCAAACCCTCCGTTAGTTATATATTATAGTTAATTTTATAATTTGTAAACTACTAATAAATTGTGACTGAATACGACTGAAAATATTTTATAATAAAATTATTATAAAATATTGTGATTGTATATAACTGAAAAATTATTAAGGGTTCATAAATTATGAAATTTAACTGTAAGCATTAATATTCGCATTCTATAATAAGAGAGCTGAAGGAATAACCTAAGAATTTGCTGCAGTTAGATATTTGTAAACATAATGAGAATCACACACTTTATAATGAGTAGTAGGGTTCCTCAAAATTGAATTGAATCAAATATTTAAGCAATTTAAATTGATTTAATTTTTTCAAATCAAATCAAATATCAAATCAAATTTAAATATTTGATCGCATCAATTTGAATCAATTTGAATTTGATTAAATTGAATCAAATTGAATCAAATATTTGTCAAATCAATCTACCCTATAAGAAATTTATATACGGAATTGTATATGGTAATAATACGTTTTAATATTCGTAAAAAATGTATAAAATATACTGAAATTATGTATAATATAT